TAACCATAATGAAGGAACCAAGAGTGAACAAGAAAACGTGTTACATTCAGTGGAAATATGAATAGATTCACAATGTCATCAAATCCAAGGATGTCGCATTTGATAGAGCTCATAAAGTTTATAATGTAGCAAACCCGTGCACCAAGTGTATGCCTTGGGCCAAGCATCAGGGTCACACTTAAGGAATTAGACTTCGCCCTCCGTATAGTTTTTTGATTTATAGTTATATTATAGTATTCAGATAATGGAAGTATGCTTTGATGAACCAAACGTTTGGTGAACCGTTTAGTGAGAAATTCGTTATTTAATAAATGAACAAACATTAGCAATATTTTTTGTTCGTTTTGTTAAACGAACAAATACAAGCAATGATTTTGTTCGTTTATTTACATTCAAGAACGTCCGTTAATGTTTATTTGTTTACCTTCATTTATATCTATCCATTTACTTCAATTTATGTTTGATATATATATATATATATATATATATATATATATATATATATATATATATATATATAACCAGTAAGAGTGAATGTACAGCATGTAAGAGTGATTTAAGGATTACAACTTCTAGATTTCATAAAAAATTTAAAAAATGACACTGCTAATTACGATCAACATTATCAAAAGAGTTGATGATCAACATTTTTTTTGTTAAAGAACGGCGGCAACTTCATTAAAGTTTTAATAATAGAAAAAATTAATAGAACTAACTTGATTTAATTCCAAGATATTTATAAATTTTATATTTATCTTCCTTTTACATAATTTTCATTTTTAACTATAATATATATAGTCTAATAGGTGTTCGGCATAAATATATGATTTAAGAGGAAGATAATAGTGAAAATTTGAAAATCTTGAAAGCAAATCAAGTTAGGGGTTGAAGTTTAAGAACATTATAATGAATATATCAAACAAAACGACGTATTATGGTGAGTTTGAGTACCTAAGCTTATATACCCTTAAGGGTATATTCACTTTTCCCATATATATATATATATATATATATATATATATATATATATATATATATATATATATATATATATATATATATATATATATATATATATCCTACTGAGACGTAATAGTATTATGTCTTTGATGTAGTTAAACATTATTACGAAGAAGGTGGTTATAAAGGATGATATTAGGAGTAACATGAAACTTATGAGGGACACATATACTGAAGATTGGAATTTGTTTCTCTAACGGTTGGAGTTTGACGTTGGCTAGGCTCTTGTTAAAATCAAATAGATGCAAGTGTATATTGTACCTAGACGGTATTTGTAGCCAGTCATATTTATTGTCTTACTAGGTTAAAACCCGTGGAAACCACGGTTCATAAAAATAAACTCCTTGATTAAATGTTGAGTTTTGTCGAAAATTAAAGAGGTAGGGGCTACTAAGTCAACGTCATAGATCGTTAGTAGGGGAAGACCGACCAAAACATACATCAAGAAAATACACAAAATCAATTGAATTGCTAAAGGATCATGAACCCTACAATGGTTTTAGAAGAACACCAAAGGAAAAAAGAAGAAGATATTATTAGACGACCTTCCCCTACTAACGATCTTCGACGTTGACTTAGCTCCCCTGCCTCTTTATTTTTTGACAAACGCATCGAATAGGAAACTACAGTAGATAGGAGGAGATGCGTCGCTACTGCTTTGACTGATGGAGAAGGTGCTACAATAATGAAATTGCTAAAAGAATTTAAAAACATACCAAATAAAAGCTCGATGACTCGGAAATCGGGATTGGGAGAGATGAATCAATGGGAATACTCTTGAAGTCAATGACGATTGAGGTTTATATGAAATCGACTGACTATTCTATCCAATTCAAATTTGAAAGAAGACAATTCCTGATTTATTGAGATTACATTGATAATCTTTGATTTTAAATGTTGATTTTAAGGAAAATCAAATGCAATTACAGTAGTATGTTGATTTTCGTTATTTAAGGCAGTAGGCGGGAAAAGAAATTAGAGCATATGTGAAAAAATTGACACGTGGATTGAAGGAAGTGTATAAGGGGACATGTGACATCTTAGGGGGTCTTTTATTAAAAAGAGAGATTTGACTTCACAGATAAAAAAACAATATTAAATCCATATGAAAATAATAAATCTATGCCTCATTGGCTCATACTCACTAATATCAAAATAAAGAATCCAAGTCAACACACATTACTAGATAACCGTAAACAGGCTTGAAAAAAATTAGGCAAATTTTGAGTATCATCGTCAAAAAAACCAACTTAAAGTCGCAAAACATTAAACAACTTAAGGGTTATTTTGTAATCTTGTGTTTTTTTATTGATGTAAACTTACGCCTGTTTGTTAATTTTGTCCAAATACATGTACGTAAACTGTAGATTGCTCTGCCAAACATCCAAAGTGTTTGTTGACTTTGTCCCAATATATGTCTTTTAATATTCATGCTTTAAATTAATAATCATATAATAACTATTTGGTGATATTAAATGTTGTGTTTTGTTATGTTTTAACCTTATTAGGCCGGACGGAGTGGGACTGCGGGAAGGAGCGGGAACCGATCCCGCACTTATGCACACCGCACCGTGGGTGCGGGAAAGGAACCTGCACGACCTAACATAAGAAAGCCGTCGTTATGTAGAAATCACGAAGTCGGACACGATCGCCTTATAGAAGATTATTTTGCAGATGACGCCGTCTACGCTGTAAAGTTTCGACGTCGGTTCCGGATGAGGAAGGAACTATTTTTACGTATTGTTGGCGATTTGGAAGGCCACTTTCCATATTTCCAATGGAAAATGGATGCAAGGGGAAAAAAAGGTTTCTCTCCCATTCAAAAATGCACGGCTTCAATTCGTCAGCTAGCATACGGCATGGGCGCAGACAAATGGGACGAGTATTTTAGGATGTCAGAGCGTACCGTGAGGGAGTCTGTGTACAAGTTCTGCAAAGCGATTTGTTTGGTTTATGGGCAACGATATTTGCGCAAACCAACTATCAACGATATCCACCAATTGTATACGGTGCATGAAGGCAAACATGGATTCCCTGGAATGCTAGGTAGTATCGATTGCATGCATTGGAGTTGGTCATTATGCCCCAACGCATGGCGTGGTCAGTACATGAGAGGCGACCACAAAGAGCCGACGATCATTCTAGAGGCTATCGCATCACATGATCTTTGGATATGACATGCATTCTTTGGTCCAGCTGGTGCAAACAATGACATCAACGTGCTAGACCAGTCGCCTGTATTCAACGATATCTACCTTGGAAAGTCACACGATGTACCTTTTCAAGCAAATGGGGTAGCATATAAGCGTGCATACTATCTTACTGACGGTATATATCCTCCCTTGTCTGTTTTTGTGAAATCGTTTACATGTCCTAACGACCCGAAAATGAAAAAGTTTAAAGAGGCGCAAGAGTCAGCTAGGAAGGATGTGGAACGAGCATTTGGTGTACTTAAGAGACGTTGGCAAGTACTAACGATCGGGGCAAGGTCATATGAGGTGAAAAGGTTACAACACGTAATGTATGCATGTATCATATTGCATAATATGATTCTTGAAGACGAAGGAAGAGCGATATGCCGATACAACGAAAATGAAGTTTTGCCAAATGTCGAAGGAGTAGCCGTTGGTACACAAGAGTATAGGGTGAATAGAAGAGAAGTACACAATCGCGACATTCATCAGGCCCTTCGTGCTGATTTGGTGGAACACATTTATAGGGCTCATATTCAGCCCCCGTACGAGTTATCTCACGATGATTTGTTTGACGAATCAGACGAGGATTCTGATATGTTCGTCGAGAGTGAAGATTCCGACGACGAGAGTGACGCTGGAAAGAATGATGCAGATGATCAAGGCGAGGACGAAGACGATGATTCCGAGTGACGTATCTAGGTTTAGATAAAATTAGGATATTAATTAATAATTTTTACTATGTTGTAGGTTGTTTGATTTTTTTTTGCGGTTTTTTTTCTACTTATTTAAATATTATGGTTAATGTAATTTTTATTTTACTTAATGAAATGCTTTTTATTTTTAATTAAATTTTATGTTTGATATTAATTTAAAAATTATAAATCAAAAAAAAAATTATTTTATTTAATATAAAAAAAAAGTGAGGGAAGGGCTTTCCACTCATTCCTTGACTTTTAGGTGAGGGAAAGGAGAGTGAGGGAAAGAGGGTATGACCCACCAAAAGTGAGGGAAGCTTCCCACCAAAAGTGAGGGAAGCTTCCCTCCCACTCCTTCCAGTCTTATACAAATAATCCTTCGAGTGTGATACAAATAAAAAACTAAAATCTTTTTAATTCGAAAAATATAAGACTGGTATAATATTATTCCAATCATTTTTTAATCGCTCAAGATTAAGCAAGATAAATAATTCAGTTTCTTAATTTTGTTGGATTCAAACCGTCATTTTCCGGAAAAGCCCTTTGACCTTTGACCTGAAGGCATCTAACATATCAGATGACGTTTTTCCAGAAAACCATTTGACCTCACCTCAAAATAAAGATAAAGTTGCTTGTTTTGTCATGTCTCTAAAAGCCAAACAAAAGGGGATTATCAAAGTTCATAAAGTCTTTGAGTCAAAAAGAACCCGACGAACGACACAATGAAGTTCTAATGAATTCATCACAAAGAACAAACGGAACCTACAAGAAATCGTAAAATTATTTCGAAGAATAAGCATGGATCAAGTTTTATACTGCTCTGTTTCTCTGTAATCAGTAATATTATGCGTTATTGCGAACTAATTACAGAATTCCGATATAGTCGATGGCAAAATCGAATTGATCTAATATTACACTGTACAAGCTATTTACAGTAAAGGCAAAGCAGTATCAAATTAATCATACAAAGAAATAAACTTATAACAAACAAAAACATGAATAGAATAAATATAAAAGAAAAAGTAATCCAGCAATCCGATGCATACCGGATTGAAATCGGACTCCACAAGTAAGATCGGTCGTCAATTCGTCATCTTCCGGAATCAGAAACTCCGTCTGAAATCACGCCATAGTCGGAAGGAGTTAAAGGTGAGCTCGTACATGGTGAGCTACCGTCCTCTTCTTTTTTCCCTCCTTTGTTCTTCATCAACATATTCGTCGCCTTCGAAGCAACAGAAACAGCTGAATTCACAATTTGGCCGACGATCTTCCGCTTGATTTCTCCTCGCCTCGGTGGAATCATCGTCTTCTTCTTCGATCTGTTCGGGTGTTTGTAGTATGATGATGATGATGATGATGATGATGATGCGGGCTCCATTTCTACAGAGCTTGTGAAAAACATCTAACAATGAAATCGAATTTAGGAGAAATTTGAAAGAAATTTTGTTCGAATTTGAATGTTTGAGAGAGAAGGGAGTAGTGCGAGTGTTTATATAAGATGGTAGACTCGAGTGTGAGCGGACTCACTCACTCATTAGCTTCGTCTCCACGTTTGGCTGAGTAATGTACGTATTTAGGACCCCTTGAACTTCAGTTAAAAGAATTTCACGTCCTTCAACTTCCAGTTATGCCAAGAAATGTCCCTTAAGTATTTACAATATGGGTTTGACTTTCATCAGTCAAAAGGAGTAGGTAAAAGCCTTTAAAACGTACGTGTTCTAGTGATATGTTCATTTTTTAACGCAACTTTATGAGGCTTAATTTGGCATGAAAGAAGCTTGTTTATGTGTCAATAACCGGATATTTATAACTATATATACACAAAGAAGGGTAAAACTATAAATTTTGTAATTTGTTAAAAATTATAATCGGATATTTTGTGAAAACGTTTAACTTTACTCTAAAATATACATTTGTGACTATTTTCGTCACTCTAGTTGACACAAATTGTTTTCCATATAAAATGTCAAAAATATCTTCATATTCTTTATATCTCATCCCTTTCATCTTCAAGAAACCTAAAGTGCATACCAAAAAAAATGATCAAAACCTATAAATCAAAATCAAAATTGCAATTATTTTTCATCAACAACCATAAAATCGACACAAAGTCTTTGATCGTCTCTATGAGCTCCTCAAAAGAAAGATGAAGAAACTTTTACTTCGGCATTTTGAGATTCAAGGCCTTCTTAGTTAATAAAAAGAAATACAAAATATATTCACTTTTCTAAAGTGAGAACTTATATATTTGATTTCACGTATATTTTAATGTGTATACATAACAACTGATCAAATATATACAATTTTAGTTGATAAAAACATACTAAATATGTCCAATAGTCCAAGGGAAGTATACATAATTTATGGCAACTTTTATGCGTGTACACGTCATAAAGTGACGTAATGGACACCTCACGGATGACATAGCATGACGTAGGTGGAATCAAGTTGGGCCCAGTGATCTTCCGTACGTGTGATAAAATTAAGGGGGGAGTTTGGACTTTGAGTGTTGGATTATGCGAGAGTTATTTGGAGTTAATTGAAATTAAAATACCATTTTATCTTTTAATTATCTCTGGAGGATTTCTGTTCAAAAGATTTTTTTGTTGGTTAAAAAGCTATGAAACTTTTTACTATGTTTTATTTTTCTCGTTTCGTTTCTTGATGAATTATTGCAATTCAAACTTTGATAATACTTATATCTCATCATTGTATTCTTGTGGATATAGGACATCGATTTTTTAGCGGATCTTTTGTGAACAGGTGAGATTATAAAAAAAATCATTAAAACTAACATAACTGGTGATTTGTTAGAAGTTTCAGTGCTCACCATGTATGAACGAAAAACTCTGAATGATATGCCCTCCGTGGCAACCGATGTTGAATTTCTTCAAATTAGCTATATATATTTTAAAATCTTTAATTTGATATAATGTAAACCACATGAAATTTGGTATTTCCATCAATCAAATGATTGATTAACCGTTTACCTTGAGTGATATAGCGTTTTGAGTTAGTAATTTGTGTATATCGCAATTTGCATCATTTTCTAGGATATGCAAGCAAGGCTTGAACTTTGAACCAATTGGAAAAGGAAATTGAGTGTGAACACAAAGTGAGAGGTTGTGACAATCATATCATAGATGTTAATGTGAAATATTCTGAAACAACAACAAAGAAGCATATGAATTTGGTTAGGAGTTATGGTTCTCGACACATAAATGAGGAGGTAAATTATGTCATTTTTATTAATTACGGTTTAATATTTTAATTGTTTTACAAACGCAAAAATAGATACAAGTGAATGTAAATAAATTTCATTTTTAGTCTCTTTTGATCAAAATCATGATAAATTCCAATGTTTCAAAAACATTTTGCGAACAAAATCTTCCAAAATATAATCGGTTTCAACGATTAAGTTGGTATTTTGTGTTCCAAAATGGCAACTAAATTTTTTTATACATATAGGGTTCCTCAACAAAAAAAAACTACTTTTCATTATTATTATTTTTTTTTTTATCATTTTTTAATGTTTTTACAACATTAGTGCTGATATTTGTTATTTATTACAAATAATAGTTAAATGATAGTATCATATTATCTATATTTTATTTTTAATGTTTGATATTTATGTTATAATTTCGTAATGGGTGTTATGTTTGACAACCTAACTCAAATTTTTGTTGATATATAGACAGGGGCGGCCCAAGGCAAGTTCAAGGGGTGCTTATGAATAGGGCCCATCCTCCACCGAGGGCCTAATATTTTTAGGCTTAAATAGTAGTACACCGGTAGGTATGGCCCAATTTCTTGTTTAGGTTTAAAACCAAAATACGTTTTCTTCCAAATCAAAACGATTGAAAACAAAATTGAAAGCGGGAATTGAAATCGATTTTGCTCCGGCCTCGTTTTCAATCATAGCCATTGATGGCAAGCAACGATTTAATTCTTGGTAAAGATATCCTAATCCCTAGGATATCTTTGGATTTAAAAAGTCGCATCCTTCAAGGTTTAAAAAAGACAGCATTTTCTCCCATCTTGGTTCTTCTGTTCTTAAAAAATCACAGTATTCAACGGCCTTCTTGTTCATGAAACGCAACCTTTAACTATGAGTCTACGACAACACCTCTCTGTTCAGAAATTGCGGCCTTTGACCGTGAACCACGATCTTCGACCTTGAATTGCGACCTTCAAGTAACTGCGTATGCTTTGATTTTCAACAGAGTATGTTTCTGATTTAGATTTTTAGAGTAATACATTTGGTTTCTCATGAGTTGAAAATTTCTGATATTCTTTCCAAACAATAGAGGTATTATACGTTTTTTAATCGTTCATCCTTTCTGTTTTTATTTTATAATAGATAAATGTTGTATATGATTATGATTTTAACATCTCTTCTGATTTTGATATTTACAGAATATTAGTTTTAATCGGACAGTCATCCAAAATCCAAACTACAAATAAGGTTAGTAATTCTGGATTTTACAAATTTGAAAAGGTAATTAACAATTATGATAAAGACTATCAAATAATCAGTTTTGGATTATAAATTTCAGTCATCCATATTTTTATTTTGTTGTCTTTCTTTTTCATAATTTTACATTTCAGTTTTCAGATTGATTTTTCAAGGTCATGAAAAGAGAATTGCAATATGGTAATTTCTTAATACATCTATTTTAGAGAAATAGTGAAGTTGGGTTTATATATTAAAAGGATGATAATTTTTAAGCAGAAACAAATTTAGTTTTTTGTATACTTTTTTGAATGAAATTTAGTTTTTTATAACTATATTAAAAGGATGATATTTAGAATATTTTTGAAGCCTTTTTTTTACTAAATTGCACAGGGCCTACAATTTCTCGGGACCGGCCCTGTATATAGATGTTACTGATGTTTGATAAACACTAGATAATAAGCTAGTTGTGAAATGTAAATTACATAAATTGGCATGTTAATTAATGATTAAATATTATAAGACAAATGTGTAATACAATGTATTAAAATAAAATAAATACTAAAAAATAACTATTCGATTATCTTGTTAAAAAAATTTGCATCTCATATCATATTCATAATATTATCATGAATTTATCGTATCTCATGACATGACATTCGAATGTTATCATGACTAAAATTTGAATGATCGTATAATTCTTTTGTAAGTATATAATCATTGACCAAAGGACTTCTAGCCAAACGGTATTCGGTGTTGCCCTTCCTTCTTGAGGTTGATGGTTCAAGTCTCGTCGTAGACATATGTGGATTTAAGGTGTAGTTTAAGAGTAGGTTAGATTTGTCGTTTTAAAAAAAAGTATATAATCATTGTGTTATTAAACAATGTTGAAAATCACATTTGCCGAGTCATTCATTCAAATATAGTTGTGTAAATGTTGTCGTTATCATATTTATTTTATAAACTATGGTCACATTTATTGTAGAAAGGTAAGGGTCACGTTTCAAGAATTTTGAGGTGTCCTCAATGCCCATGTATCAGATCCGTAGAAATGCCTTTTAGCTTCTTGTTAGGCTCATTCCAACAACACCAATGTTGAATTCACCTCGGGTTTACAATCCTTCAAATCAACAAGGTTTAAGTCATATATTAGCATATATATTTTATGCTACCTTTCCTAACAAGTATTATAACAAGTACTATAAATTTCCATATCCGATCCTTCCTTTTAACGTTGTTTAGCATTATTTTAGAATTCAAACAACGTCAATTCGAGGTTATTTTTTTTTACCAAAGTTTCTCATTTAAACAATTTACATTTTAAAGCTCAATTTTGTTGAGCCATAGGTTATGACAATTTATATGTAAGACATGTTGCTCGTGTATTTTGGGATCCTTATTTTGGTCAAACATCGATGAGAATCCAATTCCCCAAAAACCTAAGGGTCCTCCACAGGTTCATCTACAGAAGGTGAGTTAGGGCCTAAGATCAGACCGAAAGACGTAGTCGATGGTGCCTAGAGGACAGGCAAGACGTAATAGACTGACGACCCGAAATCGGATTTCCCACCAATAAAATTTCACCAATCAGTTGTTTATATTCAATTTGTGTTAGATTTGGAAGAATTTTTGTATGGTCTTTGTTTTCACAATGTTATAAAAAATGTTAGGTTCAACAAATTAAAAAAGTTAGAGGATAAAGAGAATAAATTTGGATAGGTAACAATAAAACATTTGACAACATCAATAAAAAAAATAAAGTACTTGAGTAGCCCATTGAGTCTATGATGTTACCACAATTCTTCTTGGACTGAACGGTGCACGACATACCACACATCGCGGTGACTTACCTGACATTGCGGTAGTGCGGGAAACACAACTCCGACTAGAGAGTTGTAGTGCGGTAAGCTTACCGCATGATGAGT